GTTGACCAGGCTCAATATCCGACATGGCAAATAGTATTCAATGAGATCACTTAAGTTCACACGCATACAAATATTAAAACACGAAAAATTTATGTAATTTACGTTATGTTCGGAAACTAGCACTAATTCGTTGGTTTATCACAGATTTTTTTACGTCCACAATAATTTTACATAACTAATTCTATACATAGATATGTTATTTTTAACACGAAATTAATTTATAATCACAAAAACACATAGTTTACATTTAACAACAAACCAAATAACAAACAAATATGGCGAGTGCCGGGGCGGCGGGGGGCACATAACGTTCAACCAATCAGCTCCTGAGATCACAATTTGACCGCTTCCCATCGATAGATTACAATAAAGCGAAAAATAATGCGTTAAATTGCAATCATATGTTACGGTTTACAATTTTTCGACAGTTTACAATCTCACGAGATAGATTGTAATCAAACGATGTTTATAATCTTTCGGTGACAAATATATCATTATCATTGCAGGTAAACGACCAAATATTCCCGCAAGTGGTGCACGGTTTCCTAGACACGAACCCGATCATCCGCGAGCAAACTGTCAAGTCGATAGTGCACCTCGCGCCGAAACTTAACTACAACAACCTTAATGTAGAGGTGTTGAAACACTTCGCGAGGTTACAGGCAAAGGACGACCAAGGAGGCATAAGGTATAAAAAACTGTTCATTTATTTTTATACGACATTAGGTTTCGAACGAAGTAATTAATGCTTTCTGACCAATCAGGTAATAACAGTCTGATTCCAGTTTGCCTCACTATCAGATTTTAATTAAAGTAGTGTCCATCGTACGAGGCGTATTTTACGCAGTTTATGGCATTTCGCTTGCCGCAACTTTCGCTTCACAGCAAGGAACGAATGATAACAGCGCGCATTTTAGATGGTGCGAACATTGTAATGAAACCTACTTTTTGAAGAGTTAGTCAGCGCCTTGCTTCTAATATAGTTTACAGTTTATCGTGTACTAGGTATGGACTGATTCGTCCATAAGCGTTAGTTACTTTGTTTTTATGACTTACTAGAATAGTCATTAAAATTCCAGAACCAACACTACAGTCTGCCTGGGCAAGGTGGCAACTCACCTCCATCCGCAGATCCGGCAAAAGGTTCTAGTTTCGGCCTTCGTGAGGGCAACACGGGATGCCTTCCCTCCCGCTAGACAGGTAACCTCATTTATAAATTATAATTAACTCTTGCTTTTCGTCGTATATCGTGTAATGGTTCAAAGAACTTAGAAAAAGGTTGCTCAAACTTTTCGTGCTGCATATGTAATTAAATAAATAAATTCTTTATTAAATAACTTATTGACAGTTTTTAACAATAATAGGTAAAATTACATACGTGTGTGTGTGTGTGTGTTTGTTTACATTTCTGGACTTACATCTCAGGATATTGAATTATCAATTTGTCATATAAATATTTTTATTGTAGGCTGGAGTTCTCGCCCTAGCGGCCACCCAACAATACTTCTTGCTGGTGGAAGTCGCCAATAGGGTGCTGCCCGCCTTATGTCCGCTCACTAATGACCCCGAGAAACAGGTATGTACCTATCTCTAAAATAAATAATTACGCGTGTTCTAGTAATCCCTGTGTCAAGTAACTATACAGTTACATTTAATTTGTTATTTACTTTTAGGTACGCGACGCAGCATTTAGGACTATAAAGGGATTCCTTGGCAAATTAGAAAAGGTGTCAGACGATCCAAGCTTGAAGGAAGGAATGGGTAAGTGAAACTGAGTGACTGAGTTTCTTGCGCTGCATCTTCTCAGCACTGGCACATTTATTGTCCCGAAGCAGTGGTAGAGTTGATACTGGGACGTGTAAAATTGCTTTTTAAAAGCCCACTTGCAAAAATAAAATGAGTTTTATGAAAAAAAATAAGTTTTCCATTTTATAATATGTACCTATTTATGTATTTTACTTGTACATGTTTATAAAAAACTAGCTGACCCGGCGAACTTTGTTCCGCCTTAATGGCAATAAATAACGGGATAAAAAGTATCCTATGTCCTTCTCCTGGCTCTAAACTACCTCCCTGACAATTTTCAGCTAAATCGGTTCAGCCGTTCTTGAGTTATAAGTGGTGTAACTAAAACGACTTTCTTTTATATATATAGATATAGATATTGTTAAGTATTTTTAGCATATCATTTTTAGTTTGAGACTAGAAATAGCCTATGTAAAATGTTCAAGGATATTTTATTTACTTTCTTCTAGAACTCAGTGTTAAATTCCTTTTATTGGCCATTGCAGAAGCGGACGTGCACACGGCGACGCCATCGCTCGGCAACGCGGCCGCTACGTGGGCCGGCTGGGCCGTCACCGCCGTCACGGCCAAGTTCTACCGTTCACACTCGGATACGGCGCGAGTCTCGCACTCCGTTAAATCGGCGCTGTCTAAACCCGGCTCGCTCGGTGAGTAGCCAAGTAGTACGGCCAAGTTCCAAACTGTCGCTTGATTAGTAGCACGGCGAAATGGGCCGGTTGAGCCGTCACCACCGTTAAGGCCTCGCACTCCGTTAAATCGGCGCTGTCTAATCCCGGCTCGCTCAGTGAGTAGCCAAGTAAATCGACCAAGTGCCAAGCTCTCTCTCAGTCGGTGAATAGCTAAGTGACTTCTCTTGTTCGGTGCGTAGCCTGTACCGCACTCCAGCTTTCGCTCAGTAAGTGCCAAGTGACACGGCCAACTCATTTTTACAGGGCATTCAATCAAGTCCAGATGCTTATTTGTGTTATTCTGATACAACACTCCTCATAATAGTAGTAATTCCACTATTTTCAAGGCAGCACACAATCGATGCGATACGACCTATTCATAATTAACTCTATGCTTTGTGAATGAACCATTTTATTTCACATACGAATTTTACCCAATAATTTAGGTTAATCTGATTTCAAATTCAGATTACAATCATACATCAACTAACTTGAAATTTAAACTATTTGTATATCTAATACTCACTCTAGTCTCTCCCGCAGAGCAACCGTCGTCAAGCAGCCTCTCGACCACGACGTCATCGGTGACTTCCATGACGTCACTGGAGCGCAGCGAGTCCGCGTCAGACTACGATCCGGAACACTGGGACATGACGCAGTGGGGAGACATAGACTCCAGTGCTGGTGAGTTGCCAAGGGAATTTGATTCAATGAGGGTTTTCGCGATTGAAAAATCCGCCAGATGGCAATACGTAGACGCGAGGTCCAAATGCTGCGTGACTGGTGGATTTTGACATATCTGTCAGTGTCACGTCAAAAATAACCAATCATGCAGCATTTGGACCTCGCGTCTACGTATTGCCATCTGGCGGATTTTTAAATCGCGAAAACCCTCATTGCAGGGGAAACTTATTTAGTGACTTATCCTTTTTTAACAAATAGCATAATTTCTAAAGAATGTATTTTTCAAATTAATATTATAATGAAATCTGCACACTGTTGGTTGCAGGGGCGACTGATTCAGTGTCATGGAAATCCATTTAACAAAACAACTAGCACAATTATTAGAGAACGTCTTTTACAAATAAACATTATAACGAAAACCTGCACACTGGTTGGTTGTTGTTGTTGACCATTTCGTGGAATGGGAAAGATAGTTTCGATTGCTATGAATGTCTTTGTGTGTGTATGGATAAATGGTATAATTTCCACTTACTATGAAATAAAGAAACGTCTTTTCAGTTATGACAAGCAAGATTTACTTACTGCATTATTATTTACATTACATTTTCTATTAGAAATAATATTTTATATCTATTCGACATTATCACAATGTATAAAAACAATTATTTTATTTCACATAAAAATGAGCATATAATTCAAATTTTATCGTTAACATTTATATCCTACAATTTAAACTAGTAAATTAAAATTATTATTTTCTATGTAACTTAGTGTATCTGTTACGGTTAATGTGATAAATTGAAAATTATTAATAATAACCGGTTATTATGAATAATTACCGACAGTCGCGGTTAAAGTGATAAATTAATCACATTTACCAGTGATTATTTAATAATTCAACCTTAGTAGGTAACAAATTTAATAAAAGAGAGCAACATCTTGTGTACGTGCTCGTGTACAACCAAACTTTTGAACGTTTTGATATCATATATAAATACTAGCTTTCCGCCCGCGGCTTCGCCCGCGTGGAATTTTGTCTGTCACAGAAAAACTTTATCGCGCGCGTCCCTGTTTCAAAAACCGGGATAAAAACTATCCTATGTTCTTTCCCGGGACTCAAACTATCTCTATGCCAAATTTCATCAAAATCGGTTGCGAGGTTTAAGCGGGAAAGCGTAACAGACAGACAGACAGACAGACAGTTACTTTCGCATTTATAATATTATTAGTTGGTATAATTTGGCATAATGAGTTTGGAATGTTTCTTGCATAATATTACTTTTCTATGATGCCCATAACATATTTTTTTGATTTAAAGTGAAAAATAGGTTAGGGTGCGGCGGGGGTGGCCCTTGGGCCACCCCTAAGCCGCCTATTTAGTTTTATACACACTTAAATGACCTCATATTAATCACATTTACCAAATCATGCGGTAATTATTCATAATAACCGACGATTATTCATAATTTTCACATTTATCACTTTGACCGTAACATATCCATAAATTGTGAAAGGGACCCGACTCGAACCAGTAGACTTCAAATGTCATGTTTTGTATTTATTTCCACTAAAGTCGCGTCACCTCACCGCTCTCGGATTCATTTCTGGAAACAAATATGTGGGTTGAATAAATTATTGATGATGATGATACGATCTATTATGCCGCTGATTCTTTTTCTAGTATTATAACTCGAGTTTCTTTCTAAAAGTGCTAACAAATCACAGAAAGTCGAACCGAGCTTGCTTATTTATACCTAATTTTAAATTTAGTTTGTTAGTTTCACTGTTTATATTTTTTCTTTTTTATTAACTTATAGCAACATGCGCGAGTGTAAAGTCTGAGCCTAGCAGCGTCAGCGCGCATCAACACACGACTTTGGCGGCTCTCTGCGAAGACGAGTGGGGGAACGATGAGTGGGGCACGCTGCAGGAACAACCGGTGAGTTTGATATTGTTTAACGTTAGACCATATTTGTACATGATGAACCGACGACCTCATAAAGGTAGCAGGAAGGCGCTGGATGCAGGCCACCACCAACCGGCCATTGTGGAAATCATTGGGGGAGACCTTTGTTCAGCAGTGGCTAAAATGATGATGATGATGAGACCATAGTTTGTCTAAGACTTCATGAAAGAGAGAAAAACAAATTAAGATTGTTATGTATCATTAGAGACTCTTTTACAGTTAACTGTATGATTTGGAATGAAGAAAATTTGAAGATGGTAACCTGATTTCTAGATTGTTTCTCCAATCTTAACTTTACCTTATCTTTTTGAGAGCTTTCATTTTCATGACAGTTCTGTAACCGTTACCTTCGTTCTTATCTTAAGCTTAGGGTTCGCACATTTATCTTTTCTGTATAATAAGCCCGTCCACCGTGAAAAAATACAAGAGATCGTTATTTTAAGCCTAGGCGCACACAACCAACTTTTAGTTGGCCGATAGTTGGGCCCGATTCTAATTTGTATAAAGAATCGGCCGATACCAAATCGGTGTAATGTACGGACTTTCATACATGCCCATACTGATTAACAGCCCGACCCAACCATCAGCCAACTAAAAGTCGGTGGTCTGCGCTTATTTAATAACGTATTTTGATTAGATCGACCGTTTGGTGTAGTGTTTCAGAACGGACTACTATGCTGAGAGGTCCCGGGTTCGATTCCCGGCCGGGCTGAAATTGAAATAAGAAATTTTAATTTCTGGTAATACTATGTATATTAAGTATGTATTTACAAATAAAAATTACAAGCTTTGCTTAGTTTGGGACTAAAACGTAGGTAGTGTAAAAATGTCCATGGATATTTATTATTTATTATTATACAGGGTTTTAGGTAAATGGGTATATGAGCCGACACTAGCCCATGTTAACATGTTCATATAAATGGTATGGTGAAGTCAGAAAATTGATATCTTCATTTTAATTATTTTATTTTTCATACAAATCGTATTTCATAAAATTTATTTTGTATGAAAATTAAAAAAATTAAAATGATGATATCAAATTTCTGACTTCACCATACCATTTATATGCCCATGTTAACATGGGCTAGTGTCGGCTCATATACCCATTTACCTAACACCCTGTATAAAAAATCCTGAATATTGACTTAAAAATACCTACAGACCGCCGAAGAGGAACTGGCTAGTCCGTCTGAAACGTGGAGCAACACGCAATGGACTGACCCCGCTCTCAACAATGCGAACGCGACATACGTGCGGGGAGCACGCGCCGAGCACCGGCCCGCCGCGCACCAGAACAGCGGCGACTCGCTCGGCGGCTGGGAGGACGGCGAGTTCGAGCCTATTGAGGAGAACGTGGACGGTGAGTCACCTGAGCCCCGATTACGGTAACTTTTAACGTTTCCAATCCAGACGCGCTTCCGATTCTGCGATACGATTGGTCAAAACAGCTGACGTACGCTGTTGAACGACCAATCGTATCGCAGAATCGAGAAGCGTGTCTGGGTTGGAGACGTTAAAAATTACCGTAATCGGGGCTCTGGGCCCTCCCTAGCTATGGCCCTGGTGAGTCATGTGGTCAAACGTGACTCGCTCGGCGGCTGGGAGGACGGCGAGTTCGAGCCTATTGAGGAGAACGCGGATGGTGAGTGACCTAGGACAACACCCTAGTACTGCCCCCTCCCTAGCTACGGCCCTGGTAAGTCACGTGGCCCGAGCACCGGCCCGCCGCGCATCAGAACAGCGGCGACTCGCTCGGCGGCTGGGAGGACGGCGAGTTCGAGCCTATTGAGGAGAACGTGGACGGTGAGTGACCTAGGACAACACCCTAGTACTGCCCCATACTGCCCCCTCCCTAACTACGGCCCTGCTGAGTCATGTGACACGCGCGCCTCAAGCACCGCCCCAAAACAGCGGCGACTCGCTCGGCGGCTGGGAGGACGGCGAGTTCGAGCCTATTGAGGAGAACGTGGACGGTGAGTGACCTAGGACAACACCCTAGTACTGCCCCATACTGCCCCCTCCCTAACTACGGCCCTGCTGAGTCATGTGACACGCGCGCCTCAAGCACCGCCCCAAAATAGCGGCGACTCGCTCGGCGGCTGGGAGGACGGCGAGTTCGAGCCTATTGAGGAGAACGTGGACGGTGAGTGACCTAGGACAACACCCTAGTACTGCCCCATACTGCCCCCTCCCTAACTACGGCCCTGCTGAGTCATGTGACACGCGCGCCTCAAGCACCGCCCCAAAATAGCGGCGACTCGCTCGGCGGCTGGGAGGACGGCGAGTTCGAGCCTATTGAGGAGAACGTGGACGGTGAGTCACCTGGCCCCTCTCCTTAGGTTCGGCTCTGGCAGTGAGTCACCCGCCCTAGCATTTCCCCATGCTGCCCCCTCCCTAGCTACAGCCCTGACAGCGAGACACCTGGCCCCTCCCTAGCTACGGCCCTGGTAAGTCACGTGGCCCGAGCACCGGCCCGCCGCGCACCAGAACAGCGGCGACTCGCTCGGCGGCTGGGAGGACGGCGAGTTCGAGCCTATCGAGGAGAACGTGGACGGTGAGTGACCTAGGAGAATCTACTATTGCCTCGTTAATGCCTCTAGCTACGGCCCTGACGCTGAGTCTGGTCCGAGCGTTGCAGCTAGGACCCGTCCCGCCACGCACCAGAATAGCGGCGACTCGCTCGGTGGCTGGGAGGACGGCGAGTTCGAGCCTATTGAGGAGAACGTGGACGGTGAGTCACCTGACTCCTCTCTAGGTACGGCTCTGGCAGTGAGTCACCCGCCCTAGCATTTCCCCATGCTGCCCCCTCCCTAGCTACAGCCCTGACAGCGAGACACCTGGCCCCTTCCTAGCTACGGCCCTGTAAGTCACGTGGCTCGAGCACCGCCCTCCGCGCACCAGAACAGCGGTGACTCGCTGCTATTGAGGAGAACGTGGATGATGAGTGACCCTGGCTCTTCCCTAGGTACGGCCCTGAAAATGAGTCACCTGGCCCCTCCCTAGCTACGGCCCTGGTAAGTCACGTGGTCCGAGCACCGGCCCGCCGCACGGTGGGCTGATATTAGAGCTTCATAGACTTAGCGTCGCTCAAAAATCAAGTGCCGAATTTTGAAAAAATAAATATGCCAAAACCAATATGTAACGTTTCTTGATAAAGTTATTATTTAATNGCCGTAAGACTGGCATAAGCGTCTGATGCCGTTGAGGTATATGAGTATGAACTGACACAAGGTGACAGTTGCCACACTGTAGGGGAGACTGGGGACACTCGATCCAAGGCAGACTAGAATTAAATACACTGGCAAAGCTTTTGTGAATGAACACTACATGTAATTTTAGATTGACAACAAATGTCACAGAGAGTCGTGCTGCAGTAGAGCTACCTTTATGACAGATATTTTGGTGTGATTAGACTAAATAAAACTCTGATTGGAAACTCTCACATAAATAAATTACCTACTTTAAAATTTAATATTTGTTTACGTGGAGTCTTTACTTGCCTCTTAAAAAATTAAATACACAAAGTAACGAGTATCATCATCATCATCATCATCATCATCATCTCAGCCATAGGACGTCCACTGCTGAACATAGGCCTCCCCCAATGCTTTCCATGCTGCCAGGTTGGTAGTGGCCTGCGTCCAGCGCGAAGGCGCATAAAGGTAGCTGGAAGCTGCTACCTTTATGATGTCGTCGGTCCACCTTGTGGGTGGACGTCCCACGCACGTGTTTAGTAACGAGCATTAATCAACACTGATTCTTTAAAATTGTTAAAATATAGGAGCATTTTATATAAAATTGTGGTATTACCATCAAGATCATCTTGCTTCTCCCTAAATACTTTTTTTTTGATTGCCCCAACATTGTCTTCAATACATGCAAAATTCAAAACCCTATTTATTAATCTGATATACCACATCCCACATCTGACTGTGGTAACGTCAAGCTAAGTGCCGTCACTTACGACAAACGCGTGTTACCATTGACATATCGCCAGCTGACGTAAGTGATGGCACTCATTTGTACGCAGATGCGCCGGCTTAGCGCGGGCTTTTTTAAGAAATCCCCTAATTTGTAACGGGTTAGGCTCAACGAATTTGGTGTAAATAACGTCAAGCGTTATTAGAGATAAGGATTTTCATTTTTTATTTTTCTTATTAGAACCTGTTAAACTCTACCCCAAATCTTGCTGTTATAAGAATAGAAAGTGGTTATTAAAAAAAGTGTTAAAATACCTACGTTCATGAAAAATCGAGATGCATGTATTGTTTATTAGATGTATTTATTTATTCTTGTCACATTAATGCCATTAAGGATTGAACATTGATAGCGCAGTAAAAATCCATCATTCTGAAATTCAATCCTTATTTAATTTATGTAATACATATTAATTTACTCAGATAATATGTACAGACGACACCAAGCTAAAAATGTAGTGATGTGCGTGCAGTCGACAGTACTTTGAAAAGTATTATGAATAAAATGTTTTATACAGGCTTCTGCCTCAAAATATTTTCGTTATGAAATGTTAAAATTAACCCTCTTAACGTGTTAAATCTAATCAAACCCAAAAACATCTTCATGGCGTGCCATAAAACATTCAGCGTCGCAGAGGTGTCGTTCAGACGGGATAAATCCCGTGTACAGTCCTCCCATTGAACCTGAACCTTAACCCCCGGTAATAGAGTTCAACGTCTGCTTAAAGTGTATAAATCCCGCTGTCCCGTATACGGGGCCCGCGGGAGTGATCCCGGTAGAGATGACCGCTCCGAGGTACGCGACACTTAGATGAAGCTCTCTTATTACGCTGGCGTTGTAGACGAGCGTGTGAAACGCGGCGTTTTAAGTACACACAAGGTAAACTAGTAATTATTGATGTATTTAGATTTAGGTAGGCACGCACAAAACTCACGGAGGTAATCCTTCGATGCATGACCACTTAAATGTGGTGTATTTTACTGGCATACTGACTTGAAGGATTGATATAATACGTCATGTGATCTCATTATCTCTATTTTTGTCATAACACAATAACACAATTTCGTGAATAAATTAAATCAATAAAAAAATCAAATAGGTATAAATTCGTCTATAAATAAACAAATATAAACACTTTTTAACTTTCAAATAATTAAGATTCTTAGGCTGAGTTGCACCATCTTACTTTGAATTTAACAATTGTCAAAAATCTGTCAAATGAAAAAATTAAAAATACCGGTTATTGTTATAAATACTGTTATAGTAGGATGGTGCAATCCTCAAATGGAAACATTTTTTCATGAGTTCAAAGCAAACATATAATTTAATCAAATATCTCTTTACTCAAGTGCTAAAATAGGGTGACTTTTCTGATAATCAGATTGCGCGACGTGTTATTATTACCTACAGTTTCACTAACCAGCAAAGTTTAGTTTTTATGAAACTCGCTTTTATAATGTTTAACAACCAAAACCGCATTCTCAACGCGGCGTTCAAACGCTCGACTGCCCAATCGATGTTGCAGACAAAACGCCGAGTCCGTCACACGCCGCCTTGTCTACGACTGGAAAGGGTACGCACTGTTTACATTTTAATGCAAGAACCGCGACGCTCGTTAAGGGGATAATTTCGTATCCGCGGACGTAATGACCCTTTCTCATTTAGCAGTTAATGAACTGAGATTTGATTAAAGTGTTATGTATTCATTCTTTTTTGCTGGAAAATATGCGCTGGCAGATTATTTTCTCCGTTCTTAGGGCTTGTAATTATCGTGCAATTAATATTTTTAAATGTTCTTAATTTATCTCAAGGATACACACAGTGGGGCTACTTTTATCTGGAAAAATATTATTAGGCTCTCACTTTAAACCATGTTGAAAATTCTTTTTGTAAATGGTAAATGTACATTAAATAACCTCAAATGACGTTAGCAAAGGCATTATGTAAATAAAAACAACGTCTCAATAAAGATATGAAAGTTAATCTGTCGATTACAACTTTTGCGAGTTACACATCACATTGTTTTGCTCCTCTCACTTTTATGTGCTTTTATCGACTTTAAATTTAATATTAAGAGTCACAAACTTTGTGATCAATATTTTAGAACCTGTCTTGTAAGTATCTTACCTACATTTCTATAGATCTTTGTTTTAAACCCAATCTTATAAGCAAAAGCTTGTCACCCCTCGCCACACCACCGGTTTCATGTCTAACTCCTTCTCAGTCTCAGCAGTACGGCTCTGGAACGGCCTTCCGGCGAGTTTGCGAAAAGCAACCTCCAAATTCACATTTAAAAAGGCTCTGCGCAACTATTTCAAAGACTAAAACTTTTTTTTTTTTTTTCTTATCTCTGACATGTGTTATGTGTACGCCAATATTAATATTATGTTTATGTATCTTTGTGTATGTCTATTATNAATCTCTCACCATTAAAATTCAATTTTTTTTCTGCTGAACATAAGGCTGTATAAAATATTCTCAAAATAGTAAAAAAACCTTTGATAATTTACTATTTGATAAAGAATTTACGTATTTATTATTGATAATCACTAATGTATACTGTGCCGGTATGCACAATACTTAATCTCTTCATATCTTATCTTGATCACGTTCACAGTGTCAGCACATTTATCACGTATAGTGCTGATGCTGTGACGTCATTTACCTTTGATCTATATCGTATAAATAGTCGCACAGTTCACATTAATAAACAGATTAATATCAGAGACTAACTACAACCTGTCTCATTCATACGGTCCCCCAACATGGCACAAATTGGTGACCCCGACGAACCTGACGAAGCCGTCGAACCCAGCGACGAAGCCGACGTACGACGACAAAGATAAACGTGCCAAACCAACGTGATGTGAGACGTAACCTCCATCATCACCATCTTCGGCATCAGCCTTCGCCATCCACATCATCTCTGACATGGTATCAAATTGGTTACCCGATTGAGCAGAGCAAATCCGTGACGTCATCAACATACATCACCGTCAACATGTCAACTCCGTGCAACACAACACCACAAGAAGTCGCCGCCAGACCCCTGTCACATCCGTATTCCCGAATTCTGGAAGGACCAACCTCGTCTGTGTAGCTGGAATCAGTCTTGGAACTTCAAAACAATCAAATCGCTGATAAAATATTAGGACTAAATGCGAAATGAATTAATGCAAAAATAATGAAGTCTCAGCAGTCAACGACAACAACAGCATAAAAATTCAAGACCAAACAATGGAAAATGTGCTAACACAGCTATAACATGTGCAATTGAAATAATAATTGTGCCATGACCGTGAAAATTTGCGACGCAGCAGTTACAGGCCAAGGTCGCCTAGTCAAGTAAGAAGATTTTGTTATTATAATATGTATCAACGTATGCAGAAAAATGTGAAAAATCATGTGATTGGAAACAAACGAAACAAGGAAACTAAAAATCGCACAGCCAGCATGGCCTTTGTGCTATCNTGCTCGGAATGGAGAGATCTTGCAACCGGCGTGCCTCAAGGAGGTATACTCTCACCCATCCTTTTTTCTGTCTTCATTAACATCCTTACTTCTCACCTTTCTTCATCCTTTCATCTCTACGCTGACGACCTCCAACTTTACGTACAAGCTGAACCCTCTAATATTTCTGATGCAGTCTCGCAGCTAAATTCAGACCTTCGCAGTATTGCTGATTGGTCTGGTAGGTTCGGAGTAAGGGTCAATCCCGGTAAGTGTCAGGCGATAGTGCTGGGGGGCTCTAGGCAACTGGCGAAATTGGATCTGGGATCGGCTCCTAATGTTGTCTTTGACGGAGTTGTTGTTAACTATTCTCCGTATGTGAAAAATCTTGGACTCGTCATTGATAGCACTCTGAGTTGGTCTCAGCATGTCAAGGAAACCAGCAGAAAGGTGATTGGCACGCTGCGGGCACTGTACCGCTTCAAAAACTTTCTACCCTCCAGCACAAAGACCTTGCTTGTGCGGTCCCTGATCCTGCCTATTCTTGATTATGGTGATATATGTTGTACGGACATCTCACAGGAACTTCTGAACAAGTTGGACCGCCTCCTGAACAACTGCATCAGATTTATTTTCGGCCTCCGTAAGTTTGACCATATCTCGTCTTTTCGCTCACAGCTTGGATGGCTACCCATTAGACAGCGTAGAAACATTCGTTCTCTCTGTATGCTTCACTCGATTCTCTTCAATCCTGACTCTCCACCTTATCTAAAAGAGATGTTCCAGTACCTTCATTCTACTCACAATAGAAATCTTCGCTCTAATCAGACTCTTCAGCTTGTCACCCCTCGCCACACCA